CCCCAAAACCCCAAAACCCCAAAACCCCATCTTGATTAGAATAGATTGAAACAAAGGATTTAATGCTCTCTTTCATTTTTACACAATGCGCATCCCATTGCAAATTCAGTACCATCCGAAGGATGATCCATCAAAATTTGGCATTCTGGAAGTCCTGGTCACTTTTTTGGGGTTGCATTTCATCTTGAATGACATGGATCTCAGTAATGAGTGCATCCACCTCAAAAATATCTTGAATAATTGCAGCAGTATCTACATTTCCATTCAATAAACTCATCCCCGTGGATGTCACAATTGGCTTTTCCAGCAAAGTCTTCCATTCTTCACTCCTCACATGCATAATCTTCAGGCTTGTAATCTTCAGGATTTTCTAAGGCATTTCCACATTCTCGCATTCCTCCGTAGTAAATATGTTGGCACCTAAATCAAATGTAGTAAGCCAATCGGTCAAGGCAGTACTCTTCGTAGTTCTCAAAGTAATCGTCTTGCTCATCTTTGAGCCTTTCGTCTTTGTCAAGACCCTCAAGCTTTCCTCGCTCGACTGCCTTTGCTCTGACTTGTGCTTCGAGTTCGTTGGCTTCGTCTAGGAGTATCTGGAGCTTCTTGTTGTAACTCTCTTGAATGTCAGCCTTACAAACAGGACACTTCTTGTATGCAAAGTGGATCCTTGGCCCAAACCACTTCATCTCCATTTTTGTGATCATGCAGTCTATGTGGAAGATGTGCTTGCACTCCAGTTGGACACAAGGCTGAGAGCCGAGTGTATCGCTGAAGCAGATCAGACAGTTGGAATCTTTGGTTTCACCGAGAGTTTTAGACTCATCATCTTTGACTCATTCTGGCTCTAAGAAAGAATTTATTCTGAAATTTTGTACATAGATATAATAGTTTTAATTAAAACTTACCTAAGCAAGGAAGGCATTCTTCCTCTTTGCGAGTTCCATTGCAAATATGCCCTCATTCCAGGACTTCTGGACAAGCTTGCTTGGCTATCTTCTTTCATTCTAGATTGCTTCAGACGAATTGGAGAATGCCTCTTTTCCTCTTCTTCTTGATGGCCACTCCTCAGTATCTTCACTTATCCGACTCCACGTGTTCTCTGTGTTGTGGACAAGTGAATCCGAAGTGGTAGGGGTTCACCATGCATTTGGCACAAAAGTCGTCCTTACAAGCTTTGCACTTGGTCTTGTACATGGCGAGGTGTTCGGCTGCCTCACGAGATATAGTCTTCCCTTGATCGTCAATTGCATCATATTTTGTCTTATGTTTAACTACTTTGATATCTTCTCCGCATCTTCATCGAACAAAACCTTCTTTTGGACATTTTTCTGATTTTTGTATTTCTTCTAGAATTCTTATCCATTCTTCTCCCAAAAGAATTTCAATTTCTTCTTCATGAATGAATTTTGCTCACTTTGGACAATCAACCATGTCCTTTGCTTGATATTCAATCTTAACTAAGGTTATAAAGCAATCTTCACAGATGAGATGGCAACATGACGAGAGCTGAAAATATTCTTCATCTAAAATCTCCTCATCACATTTACAACATCTTAACTCTTTTCTTTTCACCTATAAAAGCATTAACTCTTAAATAACCCACTCTCCATCCCCTAAAATACGCTATAATCCCTATCTCCCTTGCTACTACATCCTTCCTATCCCCAAAACCCCAAAACCCCAAAACCCCGGATTTCACCTACAAAATTGAAAAATTATCTTTGTTCTTAATAATCTAGCTTCTTTAAATTGTAATCTGTTCTTGTTTGACATTCTTTGAGGAGTTCAGCTGTAGATGTCAGTGAGGTTTTTAGGTACTTGTGTAATGCTGGGGTGTATTGGTAAACTATGAGTTTTAGATAGAGATGGTCGGAGACTGTGTTCGGGGGCATGAGTGCGTGTGTAGTATTTTCAGGGATTATGTCAAGCATTTTATAAGCCTTCATCAATTTGCTATTATCCCCAAAAATATCAACCTCATATTCAGCAAGCACTAAATACTTCTTTTCCATTCTATCCTGCCCACTTCCTGAACCAACACTGCCTCTCTGAAGTTTTATTCCAACACTATCCCAAAAAACTTGAACAAATAATTCACACTTGAGTCCCTTAGAAGTTGCCCAATGAACCATTTCTACCTTACTTTGGTCTATTTTGAACTCAAATATATGGTTTTCTTCTTTAAAAGGAGAATCCTCTATTAATCTTTCGTACTTGTCCTTGTGACTCTCGACGGTTCCATTTAAGGATTCTAGTTCTTTTTGAGTTTTAAGTATTTTTGGGAGGTTTTTAAATGACATCTGGGCTAATAGAGCTTCACTTTGAGGCAACTCTGTTCTTTGCAATTCTTGAGCTCTATTCAAATCTTTAGTCAAGTCATTAAATCAGTTCCATGGTTGCAAGTTTAACTTGTGGAAATAACTTGAAAGCATGTTTAAAGAAGGCTGTATTATTGATATTCTAATTTGGTGACTCTTCTCTTCGATATCAGAGATATTCTTTTGTAAGTTATTAATGTAATTTGTGTTTGAATTAAATCTCTTAGCCTCTTGTTTCATGGTTTCTTTAACTTTAGAATATTTGTCCTCGATTTCAACAAAATCATGCTTTTTGTGTTCATGTATCAAGCAGGTTGCTCATAATACATTATTTCAAGTATCTCAAAAATATATGATCTTTTTGGAATGAATTTTACACATATTTTTCTGTTTAGAAGCATTATTCTTGTAGATTTCTTCAATGATCCCATCTAGGATCTGAACCTTGGAGAAAAGTTCTTTCTGAACTATCTTCGTTCAGAGAGATCACCTTTTCGTGGCTTTTATATGCTTCCAAGCACAGTGAGCACACCATATTTTATTACAACATGAAATGTTTACTGCGTACTTTGGAATAGGAATTTCCAATCAAATAGGTCACTCTGCGATTGCTCTTAGGAAGCTAATATCTTTTTGAAGCAAGGTAACCTCAATTTTATTGGCAAACTCTAATTTCTCTTTCTTAATATCTTCCATTCTGTCATCTAAGGGAATATCTATTCCTCATATAATATCTCAGACTCTTTGACTTATTAAGGATCTTCTGGACTTGTTTGGCGGCTTTGCTATAACTGACATGGCTCTTCTAAGTTTATCCATCATGCACTTTCAAAATAGATGCTAAGCTTCAAGATATTTGGAGCTAGTTTATTATTAATGTGTCATTATGGTTCAGCTTTGGGTGGAGAATTGGGGTTTTGGGGTTTTGGGGTTTTGGGG